AAAAGCAGTCTGCGTTATGAACAAGAAATATTAAGACCGTAGTAAGCTGATTGTAGACTACAAAACATACAGAGAGTACCATTATTTTGATTTGGTGCGCCTTACGAAGCTACAATCAATCACATAACGTATTTAAATTAAAAGGATACTATTCACATACTACGTAAAAAAGGGCCGTAAATCTTAATAAGGTCTGATAGCACCACTTACATATTATTAAAATTGTGACACCCCTTTCAGAAAAAAAAACCGATATATTGTTTTTTGGTAACCCAAAAACGAATAACCGTAGGTGGTAATTACTTGCAATTTTTACCTACCAAATGTTTAAGCTAGCATTTTCTGTACACAATGAATGTTTTCAAAATATTTTTTAACTTTTTGTGCTATTTATAAACAGTTGACCTTTTAGCTTTTTTACTTTAAAATATGAATTATGTAATTTGGTCCAAATTTTAACTTGAAATGACAATAAAAATTAACTGTGCCTATGTATTTTTTACATTTTTTGGTAACAGAATTAACTACTTACGTGGAATCTTGTTTTAAATTTTCAATCCTTAGGTATAAAAGTTGAACATTTCATAAATTTTTAACTACAAAATAATTATTCAATTTTAAATTTGATAAATTTTGTCAAAATTTGATCTTTAAATGCTTATAAAAAAAAATTGTGCCTATAGATCTTATAAGGAATCTTGTATTACATTTTAAAATCTTAGATTTAAAAAGAAAAATTTTTACAAATTCTTAACTCAAAATAATTTGCTAATTTTCGTGATTTTTCCATATTTTGTCAATTTTTGAACTTTAATTGAAAACTGTGAATAAGGATTTTTAATATTTTTCATCTGCCTTTGAAACAATATAGTAGGAGTCTTCTTTTAAATTTTCAAGCTTTTTAAAAAAAAAATAAAAAAAAATGGAAAATGAAAATGTCTTTAAACAGTTCAAAATAAATCATAATATTTTTAAAATTTTATTGAGTATAGGAAATGCAAACATAAACAACTAGTGAAAATTTCATGTATATACGTTCATTTTTTTAGAGTTCACCAAAAACCAAAATCGATTTTTTGGAAAGTAAAAAATAAAAAAATAAAAAAAACACACATCATTGTAAAATCAATACATTCATCGTTCCACTCAGAATCTAAAACACGAAAATATACCTGCAGACTGCAGTACAATATAGTCACGATTTTCACAAGCAGCATAAATTAATTTTAAACAAGTGTGTTGACGCGTTTGTTAATAATAATTATTAATTATTAACCAATAATATAATAATATCAAATAAAAACCAATTAAATGGGTAGGTAACAATGTTACAAAAACGTTTATTCGTGCAAATCATAAATGCATTGGCAGTGGGTATAACAGTGGCGTATCCAGGGTGGGGTTAGGGGGTTCTAACCCCCCGAAAATTGTTCAATATTTAATTAACTTAATGATCGACCGACACAGCACTCGACACCCAGCGGTCATCATTACACGTCAAAATATAATAACAACTTTTAGATTTTTGTAACTTTCAAGATAACTTTTCGTATAGTGTACGACGCACGTATAAAACGTATTAAATTTATAGTTTTAAAAAAAAATATAATTTACATATTTCAACTTTTTATAATCAGCGTTGTAAAATAGTTATAGTGTTATACACTTATAAAATATTTAATGTATGATAATTAATTATAATAAAACATACAATTTTATATGTTACACTTTTATTAACCCCCCCCCCCCCAAAAAAAAAAAAAAAAAAAATCTGGATACGCCACTGGGGTATAACAATCTTATATTCTAGTGAACATTTTTTTTGAACATGAATTCGAGGTTCTAACACTATCATATTATTATAAACTCTGCCGCTGTATATGGTATATCACAGAACATACCAATGTCAGGAGCAACAAAACAAGCGTCTGACAAAACGCTTTGTCCTCTTCCACATCTACCTGCGATTAGGTTTCGGCGTTGCCTCTGTTACCGGTTCGGTTGTATCATACCGGCGGACTTGAGGTAGGTCCTGCACCAAACTCGCGGCGTCTACCGCTGTCTGCACGGACTACACGTGAACCAACTCGGACGACTCGATCAAATCTCGTGACAAACAAAACCACACATGGATGTTCGGCATTGAACCATAGGCGTGCGCAGCCTCCGGTTTCAGGGGCAGCAAGAGATTAATTCGGCCCATTTTTCAAATTCACCATTAAAACCAGCCCATAGTTTTACTTTTTTACTATTGGATATCAAAATTAAAATTGTATTGGTTATTTGTTTTTTTGGATAAAAGGTTGTATAGTAAGGTACTAAGCCACTAAAGGTGTACTTTTCTACAAGCCTATATAAAATATTCATCTACAGGGTGTCCCGTGAGGATTTACTCATTAGCCGTAGAGGGGGACTCGCCGCCCGGACAAAAACCAGTTTATTGACGTTTTACTAATAAACTAAAAAAATTATTAAAAATCATGAGATTAATGAAAATAAAATGTTAAAAGCTCAAAATGTTCACAAAAATATACTCTATAGAATGGCTATCTTCAATTTTTTCAAAAATTAAAAAATTAAAAAATATTTTTTTTTACTTTTTTACTAAAAAATTTAATTTAATTAAAAAATAAAATATTTGTAGTGCTTACCTCTGCGAGTCTTAATAAAAAAACATAATTACGATATCTCCATTATTTCAGGAGATATCGCAATGAGTAAATCCTCACGGGACACCCTGTATAGTTTATCAAAACAAAAAAAAATTTTTGTGGAAATATAATTTTACCGAGGCCCACTATTTAATATTTGCCGGCCCCGGTGGCCCCAAAGAAAGTCCAGGGGCAGCATATGCTGCCTCTGCTGCCCCCGTGCGCACGCCTATGCATTGAACACGTTATAGCCGTCTCGGTGCCCGGTGGATCCGCGAAACCACGGCGACGAGACGGACGGCCGAACCTTCTTAATGCTTATTAATTATTGTTAAGTCAATACATTCAATGCTCCACTCAAAATCTAAAATCGAAATTGTTTCATGGCTGTAAGCCTGTAACTAGCTCCAAAAGAGTCAAATTATTTTAAAAATTGTGTCACGTATATGGAAAATAGTCGTATATTACTTGTAGTACATACAAATATACAATTGTTAGTTGTTACCTACTTGTTACTTTGCAATATTGTTACTTACTGACTTTATTATAAAAATAACCAAATGTATGTATAATATGTATTATACGTCTTACCAGAATAAATTTATTTTTGCATAAACATTGTATTTGCATACCAATTTTCCTAAAAAGATGAGTTATTTTTTGTCAAAAGACTCAAAAGTATGAAATAAGTGTATGAAAGACCTTGTATTGAATTTTCAAGCCTTAACTATACAAATTTACCTAATATTTTATACATTTTAAACTATAAATTAATTATTAATTATTGAGGTTTTGTCAAAATTTGAACTTTAAATGCTTATAAAAAACAATCGTGTCTATGTATCGTCCATTTTTAAATAACTAGGTATAATATAAAGCTTTTAAGTCTTGTATTACATTTTAAGATTTTTGACCGAACCAATAATTTTTTATTGACATTTTTAAAAAAAGAATTAAAATTAATCATATATACAATCTAAGCGAAGACGGTCTAACCAACAATTCTTCAATTATTTTCCCCTATTATTTTAAAAAATACTGAGAATTTTCCATTTCGACCTCCCAAAAGGTTCAACTAGATAAATTTTGCTTCCAAAAACCTCTTTTGAAGTTTATGATTAGATCATTTTTACTACTAGAAAAGTTGAGAAGTTGAGGTTGTATAAACATTTTCATATTTTTCTCACCTAAACGGCTAAACGTCTAAAATTATTAGATGACATAATATTATGCTTGGATGCTTAGTATGCTTGAATTAGAAAAAAAATATTTAGGGGATGCAAAAGTGTAAAAAATATGTGCGTAGGTACCTAAATATTGAAATATCTTATAGATTTGGATATAATTAAAAGGGGTAAGGGTAAGCATAAATATTTTCTACAAAGAAAAGAGACTCTCCCTCCCACGAATCAGCCCTCGTTTTAAGTACTGCCACTATTGAATCCTGCGTAAGCGGTACGCCACTCACGGACTAAGATATTTTATTATTATATCTTAGTCAGTGACCGGGTGACGCCACTGTATGGATCAATATATCGGCTGTTGAATGTTGATTTCAGTATCATATTTTGGTAGGGCGGCCGAGTGTCAGATTCAAGGCCCATCATGGAAGACAAAAATGACTGCGATTTTATTCCACGCTTCATGGTGTAAGGTATTGTAAAAATTAAAAACTGCGTACGATCAATCATCAATCATAACTTTATATATTTTACTTATAGGCTATAGCTTAATCATGAGGCTGATGGGTTTTTCAAAAATCATAAATTTACAAAACCAAGGGAGAAATAACGAGTAAAGACGTCACGTACATCATTCTATTCAAGGCATAAGCGTTATCAAATTTCTTATCAATCGATAGACGATAGTTTTCATTCATCCGGAGTTCGTAAAAAACATCCGAGATGTACAGCACGTTTTACGGGTCTGTCCGTCCTGACGGTTGTGTCTCTCGTCAAGTGGGCTACTGAGTAAATAGTAATTGTGTCTACCGTAGTACCGTACTACCATAGATAAAAGAATACGTATTACCGTAGTACCGTCAGTGGTCAGTCGACGCTATCGCTGTTGCTCGTTGATTCCCTCGTTCGTTCGCGCGACCGTCTCTTCAAACCGCCCGTTCGTGTCCGAAAGTCCATTCTGTTTATTTAATTTAAACGAAACAGTTAGGACGTCGTTGTTTTATTTTTATGAAAGGAATGTTTTTTAATTGTTGGTTTCTTTATTATTTTGTTTTATAATCCGCTCCTGTTTTTTGTATTATAAATATTTCACATTTAATAATACCTATTATAGTAGTATACATTATAAATTTAGCTGCACGTACGTTACTAAGCGATTAATGAAGTAATGGCCGTTTGCAGTTCAGTAGTGAAGACTGTTGTACCCGATTACAGTAATGGTGACTGCATCAAATTGTGCAGTGAACACTACTGGCCACCCAAAGATGAAAACAATCAAGTTTATCGACATTTACCTCCAACCACAGACACTGTGCTGACAAAACCATTTCCAATTAGAGGTAAATCATTTCCACACATATTTTTGTCTTGTGAATTAGTTGTGATAGCTTGTTTCCGTTAAGTAGGAATTTACTAAAGTTAATACCTAGTTATTTAATAGGTACTTGGGTAGTTAGAAATACCACTCATATTATACCAACATATTAATATCTTTTATTAAGGATTTAATATATTTTTTAGAATTTAAAAAAATACCTAGGTAGATAGTTATTAAAATATTATACCTATGTAGTTTTGAATGAAAGATTGAAAGTTTTAAATTTTAACTATTGATTGACTAAATGTTGCTATCAAACATATTATTTTAAAATAGTTTATAGCCTAGTTTTAAATTTTAAGCTTAATTTATCAATGCATTGGGTATTAACAAATTTGATTAACTCCTTTATTTAGGTAGTTGACTTAGGTAATACCTATAAAAAAATGTTAAACATTAGCTAAGAGTTAATTTAAAAGTTATTTCATATTTGTAAACTTGAAAAAGTTCAATAAAAAAAATAACAATTTAGCAAGGTACATACTTAAAAATCAATCAGTACTTACTTTATTTTTGTTATCACAAAGAATAGTAATTTTAAATAATATTGTTATTCCTTTAATGTAAGTAGATGTCTCGGTAGATACATAGGTATATAATTATTTATTGATTATTATTTCTTATTACTCATACCTATGCAACTTAAAATAATATAACTATATAAATATAATTAATAGGTAAATGATTATTTTTTTTTAATCTATAATCAATATTTCATAATATTCTGAAGTGATGATTAACCTTTAGATGTTTTTAGAAGTTGCTTTCAATGAGTTGTTATTATATTAAGTATTTATGTATAAAATGATAATTGTTCAAAATATTCATTTATACAGTTTCATCCCAATTGAGATGTGTTATCCTCATCATCCATTTTTAAATACAAATAAGAGTAATTTATTGTTACATTAATTGTCATTTAATTTTGTACCTAGGTACCTCTATAAGTATGTACCTAATGTATATACTAACCTTTATAAATGGTCTAGGGTACTATAGCAGCACTAAGAAGACAACATTCCTTTATAAGTTATAACTTATAACCGTTATTGACATTGTTAATAATATTTTTCATTAAAAATGCATACTAATAGATAAATAAATATTGAATACAGTGTCAGAAGTATTATTGACAATTATATTGGAAATCTACAGAATAATAATAATTATAATATACCGAAGTCTAAATTTTTTTTATTTACTAAGACATTTTTATAGCTATATTTATATAGGTACATTATATTGACCGGCACTTCTGCAATCTAATACAATATTATGCTAAACCTATTATATTAGGTACCTATATTAGATTTTTTTTTTTTAATGAAAACATCGTAATAAACAAATATTGTTAATCAAAGAATAAGTACCTATTATTACCCATGCAATTTGTAAAATAAATAATATTATATAACACTACCTATTACATATTTTATAAATTGTGAATACAATTTAACTTGCTAGGTTAGAAATTAGAAATTACTATAAAAAAGCTAATTTGTTAGGTATAGAACTTAGTTTAAAGCTACTTGACTTTAACTTAGTAAATCATTAATTCCCAACCTTCATTTATAATAGGTACCTATAAAATGTATGTTCTGCAGTGACAACCTGAGAGAAGAATTCAGGCCTGGGAAATGTATTACCCAGGCCACATTTGACATTTCTATATCTACGTCGTAACTAGGTAGGTTTCTATGAGGAGGCTGATCATAATATGTTATAGGTACCTACATTTGTCGTCAGCATCTTACTCTTACAAGTGTGCAACATGGAAAATGTAGATTCTGCAGTTCATGATTAGCTTCGTTAGTTTAAAAATAAAAGTGAATCAACTTATGAAACTTAATGGTAGGAATATTATATGTGTTGGTATGTTGGTTTTTTTTTCAATAATTCAGTTTTTAAGCGAGTTATGAGCATTTTAAAACTGCACCAACATACAAACAAAGATAATGTTTTTACCATTAAGTTAAGTTTCATAACACCCAAGTTGATTCACTCTAAATTTTAAACTGCCGAAGCTAAACATGAACTGCTGATCATAAATTTGCTATTCATTTTTATGCACCTGTGTCTCCTACAATTGCTGGAGTAGTGACCAGCTCTTAACACATAGGTACAGACCAAAAAGAATAAACATTACAATAAATTTCATATTTTAATCAAGTTTCATTGAATATTATTGTAAAAATTGCTATATAAAGTTCGATCGGACTAAAAATAGAGTATGAATACAATTTAGAGATTGACCACTGACCCTCACTCATATGCACGAAGTAGTCATATAATTCTCTCTGATGAAATAAAGCTATACTAATAATGCGGTTATGCTACCCATTATACCAAAATCAAATTATTAGTATTTAGTAATAACTTATTATATTATGAGTGTTTGTATAAATATATACTAATTAATACTAATTATTTAAAATGTTATTTAAAATATTTTGCATGGGGATGCGCAGAAGACCAATTTTAGTATTTATTGTTAATTTTTTTTTAATTTCTTTAATATATAAAATTGTTAAGTTTATTCTTTATTATGTAGTTTTCTATCATTAAAATCTTAAAGATTTTGATTAGGTACCTAGTGGCTAGCTGTAATACAAAATACTGATTAAGTACCTACTTAATACACTGTTTACAATTAAAAATACATTTACCTAACCATCCCATATTTATTAATAATTAATCTCTTAAATAATAAATTAAACATTATGGGTAATATTTACTATTTTCATTGTGTTCACTAGAACATTTCCATAGAACAAGAATTAAATGGTTACCTAATTAGATGTTCCAACATATAATATAATTTTAGTTATTTATTATTAAAATATAGCAGGTATTCATGCTAGGTAATTATTCCCATAATTAATACTTATTAGTTATCGCTTATTTAGTTATATCACTATATAATATTTCAGTGAAGTTTTCATAAGTTTTTATTTTTATGATGTTACAATAATAAAGTTCTATTTTTGATATTCCTCTTAAAAGATATCATAGCTAAGGCCATATAATTGTAATAATTAGTCTTGAATTCTTAAACATTATTTTAATTCTAAATTTCAAAAAAAGATCTTATTTATAATTAATTAAAAGACATTAATTGATGTGACTTTTTTTAAAATTGTGCAGAGGATCCAAAACAATATACCTATTCTTGGTTTCATTTTACGTGATTTTTTATGGTCTTAAATTGTTTAGTTTTTTAAAATATAATTCTTGAGCAATAATAAGTTACCTATTGAAATTATATTGTTTCAAATGAAATAGTTTAGATTCAGATACCTAAAGAAATAACAGTTACTATTGTCATTTTGTGTCCGTTAATTAAATGCTCACAGTTTATAAGTGTGTTTTTAATCCTAATCATTATTTAAAGTATTTAAAACAAATTTGAATTATAAATATGAGGTACCTAACTTAATGTTATCGTAATTAAATATATTTTAATGATTAAAAATTATAAGTGTCAATTGTAAATATTATAATTCATAAGTCTGTGATTATAATTGGTCCACTTAATATTTGAAACATAGGTAGTTATTTTCTCAGTACTTATATATATATATATATTTTTCTTTTCATATGGCAAGTATTTATATTAATTGATATAGGTATACACTTACATTTATATATTATTATTCTTTGACTACCAAGTATTCATAATATTTAAAATTTTCTAATATAATAGATACATAAGTAGGTAGGTACTATATGCAAATATATTTGTTAATTGTTATGTAAATCTTAAATGACGAATAAATTAAGATTTCAATTACAATATGGTATGAATAAATAAATGATAGTTGAAATGTATCAGGTATTGTGCGAGGTATTGTGCAATATATTGCACTTTGGATTGTGTGGTTTACCTATTTTATTTCACATTACATTGTTTTCATTATTTTATATTTTTATACTTAAAATAATCTTGAGTTTTTTGACTTGTACCTTTTTTTTTTTATTAAAATATAATTTTATTATTTATTCATATAATATATATAAGGTATATATATATTATTATTATAATTTTACATAGAATTGTGTTTTAATGTTTATTAAATTAAAAAAAAACTATAAGATCAATATTATGTTCCTCGGATATTCCTATATTACCTTACATTTTACTTAACCTACCTATCTTAAACATTAGTTGGTGTTTAATATAAAAGAAAGTCCATTAAACATCTAAAGAATCGAAATCCATACAACCCTAATATTTTTCCAAAGAACTGAATAAGTACCTAAGTGAAAACCTGATAGGTACTTGGGAGTTGATTTTAAAGTTATTGAAATACTCTATTTTTTGTCTAAACTATCTAAATAGACATTTTGTAATAATAATAATTATAGTTATAGTATCATAGTATTTATTATATGAATAATGCTTTAAACTAATATTTTAAGAAATATTCTATACATCAAATAGCTACAAAAGTATGTTTTAATTTTTTATTCCGATGTGTGAACACTCGTAACCAGAATAAATAATCCAGCCATGAATATTATTTTGATTGCTGTTATAGTTAGTGAAATGAAATCAATTATGCAATTTCCATTTTTGATTATTAAAAATTAATTGTTATTAGGATATGAAGACATCAAACATTTATTTCCCTTGTCTGATATTGGACCAGATTCTAAGAAAAAACTAAAAATAAAAAAAATTATTTGAGTAAGAGTCACCTATAGAGTTTTAATAACTATCAGTTAGAAAACTATAATATACCACAAATTAAACAATAAATACATCTAATTAAACATAAATATTTATTATTATTATTTTTTAATTAATATTTAAAAATAAAATGTTTTCTAATTGAGTTACTTATCATAATTCTAAGAACACATAAAATTATCTTTTAGGTATGTCTGTAAACATTAAGTTTTCTACAGTTACTACTGTAGTCTATCTGTTACTTATTGCGAAATAATTTTTTCCAATAAGCT